TCGGCAAATAGTGCTAATATGAGTTTTCTTTTCCTATCCGTATCCCTTTAATTTCTTTCGTCTAATTGCTCTTGCCAGTGTTTCAAGAACTATGTTAAATAGAAGTGGTGAAAGAGGGCATCCCTATCTTGTTCCAGCTTTTACAATGTTGAGATTTGTTCCTATTATCCCTAGTTTTTCTAGTGTTTTGAACTGAAGGGGTGCTGTATTTTGTCAAATGCTTTTTCTGTACCTACTAAGATGATCATATGGTTTTTATGTTTCAGTCTAAATGACCATACTACCAAAAGCATTATACAGACTTAATGCAATTCCAATCAAAATCTCAATGACATTCTTCATAGAAATAGAAAATAAGTCATGAAATTCATGTGGAAAAATAAGAGACCAAGAATAGCTAAAGCAATTCTTAGCAAAAAGAGTAAWGCAGGTGGCATCACTATAACAGACCTTAAGCTACACTACAAAGCAATAGTAAAAAACATGGTATTGGCACCAAAATAGACTGGTAGACCAATGGTACAAACTAGAGGAAACAGAGACTAACCTACATAATTACAGTTATCTTATATTAGACAAAGGCACCAAAAACATACATTGGAGAAAAGACAGCCTCTTCAACAAATGGTGCTGGAAAAACTGGAAATCCATATGCAACAAAATGAAATTATACCCCTATCTCTCACCATGCACAAAACTCAACTCAAAATGGATCATGGACCTAGAAATTAAACCAGAGACCCTGCATCTAATAGAAAAAAAAGAAGGCCCAAATGTCCATCATATCAGATTAGGCCCCTACTTCCTTAATAAGACTCCTATACATAAGAATTAAGATCAATAATTAATAAATGGGATGGATTCGAACTAAAAAGCTTCTTTTCAGCAAAAGAAACAATCTGTGAGGTGAATAGAGAACCTACAGCTTGGGAATAAATTTCTACCACTTGCACATCAGATAGAGCACTAATCTTTAGGATGTATAAAGAACTCAAAAAGCTAAACACCAAAAAAACACCCCAAATAACCCAATTAATAAATGGGCCAAGGAACTGAACAGACACTTCTCAGAAGAGGATATACAATCAATCAACAAATGTATGAAAAAATGTTCAACATCTCTAGCAATTAGAGAAATGCAAACTACTCTAAGATTTCATCTCACTCCTGTCAGAATGGCAGCTATTAAGAATACAAACAACAATAAGCATTGGTGAGGATGTGGGGAAAAAGGCACACTCATACACTGCTAGTGGGAGTGCAAATTGGTGCAGCCAATATGGTAAGCAGTATGGGGATTCCTTGGAAAACAGGGAATGGAACCACCTTTTGACTCAACAATCCCACTCCTCAGTTTATACCCAAAAGACTTAAAAACAGCATACTACAGGGATACAGCCACATCAATGTTTACTGCAGAACAATTCACAATAGATAAACTGTGGAACAACCTAGATGGACTTCAGTAGATGAATGAATAAAGAAAATGTGATATGTATACAGAATGGAATATTACTCAGCAATAAATGAGAATAAAATCATGGCATTTGCAGGTAAATGGATGAAGTTAGAGAAGATAATGCTAACTGAAGTTACCAATCTCCAAAAAATCAAATGCCAAATGTTTTCTCTGATATAAGGAGGCTGATTCATAGTCGGGTTAGGAGGGGAAGCAAGGGAAGAAGAACTCTAGATAGGGCAAAGGGGTGGGAGGGGAAGGAAAGGGGCAAGAGGTAGGAAAGATGGTGGAATGAGATGGACATCATTACCCTAAGTACATGTATGAAGACACGAATGGTGTGAATATACTTTGTATACAACCAGAGATATGAAAAATTGTGCTCTATATATGTAATATGAACTGTAATGCATTCTGCTGTCATATACAACAAATTAGAATAACAAAAAAATTTAAAAAGCTAAGAGATTAGTTTTTATTATATTCTTACTTTACAAATAAAAAGCATAGAAATTTTTCTACTGGCTTTACAACTACTAACAACTCTCTAAACAGTCCTCTAAATTAAAGAACTATTATTATCCCTGACATTAAAGATAAGAAAACAGAACAGAATAYCTGACCAACTGACCCAAAGTCACACTGTTGTTAAGCAGCAAGCCTGAGATCTGAATTCAAACAGTGGCACTCCACAGAGACTGAAATCTTAACACTAAGTTAAGCTGTCCCCTAAGACATTAAAAGAAAAAAATGTCAAAGAAAAAGAGACTTAGAACTGAGACTTTGGGCAGTCAACATTTGGATAATGAGAAAAGAAGAAAAAAAGGTTAAAAAGGAGCTAAGCAGAAAATAAGAAAGGTTGATGTYCTGGAAAACCATGAATAAAGTACATCTAAGAGAAATATTTAAGAGATCACCAAAGAAATGGACAAGGAACAGACCACTGGATTTGGCAAGATGGAAGTCAGTAGTGACTTTGAAATAAAAACTTGATGGAGCAAGTTATTTTTTTTTAATTCAAGAGTTGAATCTAGAAGAAATGAATTGTCCAGAATGAATCATTTATTCAGTAAATGTATACTGAATGTTTATTAGCACTAGACCCTGGTCTACATGCTTGGGTATAGTAGTGAAAAAATGAAACAAAAATCCTAGCATTAAAGGAGTTCTATATTATATATAAGATTGACAGTTTCAGTGTGTGAATAAAACTGAACACAATTTTGAAGTGCAAATGCCTGTAATTGTTAAGTRATTAATAATCATATCAAGTAGTACTTTAATATAGCTGAAACACTGATGGACAAGGTAAGAAAAAATACTGTTAAAAAGCATTCTACATACTACATTCTATATGCTACTAATGAAAAATTAAACAAGGAACTCTATAGGACTCTGTTCAAGGATAATTAAACTGGTAATTTCTGAGAGGTCTTCTTAGATAAACCTTTCACAATATTTCAAAACATATGAGAAAAAATTGATCTAAATGCCAAAACCTAACAAACTTTTTAAAAGTAGCTTTTCTAGAATAAAACAATGTGTCTACATTCAAGAAGCTTATTGTCTAGAAGTCTTGTGAGAACCGCAACATTCTCAACTCAACAAAGATTAAACACCTACTATTTAGCACCACCAAAATAATTACGGAACAAAATACAGGATACAACTACCTCAATACTACTCAATAATTTTGTAAAGAAAAAATGCTAAAATAATTTGCAGGATTTGGGAAAAAGGTGGAAACTACAATAGACTATATAGTAGATGTTCTCAATGGAGAACTATTCTGACACCCCAAGGGGCATCTGATCATGCTTTAAGACTTTTTAAAACATTACTGGCAGTGGACTGCCACTGGCATCTCATGAGTAAAGACCACAAATGTATTGTATAGACTTTCATAAAGATATTTAGTCTAAACTATCTATATGCTGCTACTAAGAAACCCTAAGCTATATTTATCAGGAAATAATTCAGGCTGGATTCTAAATTGGACTATAAAAGRAAGATACACAGAAAGACAGGAGAAATTATAGAAACAAAAGCATAAGGGCAAGAAGGAACCTGTGTTTGAACTGGGTGGTGCAGGTGTAGGGAACAGGTTTGACATTAAGAAGTTTGTCTGAATCCAAGGCAAACCTGTTCAAAACATCAGCAGGAATATGCAAGAGGCCCTGAGTTCAATATACACCACAACAAAGACAAACAATGTGAATGGGACAGAAAGGTGATTGGTTAATTGATAGTTACATCAAATGAAACCATTAAAACTAGATAAAGGTGCTGAAAACAGGAAAAGCTAGTGTTTTATTTTAAGCATTTGTTCTACAGATTGATACAATACTTTATATAAAATTGCTTACACTGTGGTAGGCTCTCTAAACATACTATTTCATTTAATCACARAACAGAAATATGTGTTTTTGCTTCTTTAAAGGTGAGGACACTGGAAATCAATTTAACTTTATTATTTCACTGTGAGCTAGGAAAAGGCAGAGATAGGACGGAACTCTTTTCTAGTCTTACCTCAAATTTCCAAGCATCAGTGACATGTTGTAAGAGTCCCCAAAAAAATTCAAAACTCACCTTTCATAATTAAAATATACACAGATGTATAAAGTAACTCTATAAGGTTTCCCTTGTATTTCTTTACTATAATAATTGTTAAATTCTGCCTTATAGGACTTGGATATGGTACTTGGCTTGCTTTCCTTAGCACTTGTGTGCCAAGGTAGTTTCTTAGTGCATCCAACTAACCCCAAAATTCTCTTCCCAGAAATCCAAATCCCGCAATTATTACCTTTAAACCAGAAAAAGAAAGGGGGGGGGGCTTACTTGTTGAATTGGTATGATGGACAACTAATACCAATGATTCCGAAAACAACACAAATTTAACATTGCAGATGCCTTCCCAGATTCAAAGTCTTCTTCCATGCTTCTTACAATGCAGAGACCCAATCTAAGAAAGGCAACCCAAAAGACTCAGGCCCTCAATTAAGTTTCAGTTGTTGCCAAGCATTTCATCCTCATGTTTCCCAACATTTTGGGGTCTACCCTCAACTAGAGCTTTCTCCTGCAGTGACCTAAGTTAGGAAAGAGATTTTTAAAACCTGAGGAACCTTAACTAAAACACGTTCTCGTAGTTTCAGATACTTAACATTTTGCCAGAGTAACACTGCTGCTGTAGGACTTACAGCTCTACCCTAACCGATATATATGCCTCCGTCCTAGTTCTTCCAGTAGCAAAGTCCCAGCACCAGATGCTACACCAGCTGCTTCTCTGAGGCCTTTTACACCAACCCCTTCAGCAGTTCCTCCGAAACCCAGTCCTAGCTCAAGGCCCATCTCAGAGGTTCTGAATCCCATTTCTTTCAAATAGAATGCGCCAAGCCCTCAACCTTCTTTCATCTCTTTAAGAGCCTCAGGAATGGGGAAGAGAGCGTGGTCATAGCCCTGAGGTCCAGAATGGACGCAGACAGAGGAGGCTCCTAGTCCGGTGGAAAATGAACAGGGAGCAGTTTAAAAAAAAAACACTTACCAACATCCTGGTCAAAGGGATTGGTGGCAAAGAGAGGCATCTCTACTGCCTACCGAAGTGTCCGCGGAGACTCCCCCTAGACAGCACGGGAGTCACGGTGCGACGTGGGATGGAGCAAAAACAGCAAGAACCTGATTCTACAGGGTCCAAGACAGCTCCTCCTCTCCTCCACCCCCAGCAACCGCGGCAGCAGCAGCAGCGGCGGCGGCAACAGCAAAGAAGCTGCGCAGGCCCCCGCGCGGAGCATCTCGGGAATCTAGGCGACCTCGGTGCTGCCTGCCCAAAACATTCCCCGCAAGCACAGTTCCACCCAGGGAGTTCCCCTCTGGCTGCCTCCTCTTTTGATTATAGACATGTGAAAGTATGATTGGTGGATGCTTTTTTTTTATATTTCCCTGGATCAGGAGTCTCCGGAGGACAGAGTCCTCCAGGCGCGCCGAAGTCGACTAATGACCCCACGAGTGAATCACAGACTAAGGAGAAAGAAAGAGGGTCGGATTTAGGGCGAGTGAATTCCTTTTCTTTTCTGTTCCTTCGGTTGTTGGTCTTACCGCTGCAGTATCTCCGAGCGGGAATGGACATTCCTTTGGGTYGCCCTTTAAGTAAAAAAGCTGTGAGTTCAGTTTGCTATATGAGGTGAAAAGAAACTTGCTTGGATGAAGTCATGTGAGCTGAAGGAATTGGCTCCAGTCCCTAAAGAGGGGAGTGTCAGGGCACGCAGCTGCCTCGGGGAGGCTTAGGTAACGCTGGCTCTTTCCCTGGAGTCCCTGCAAGCCCCGCTGTGAAAGCTTTTGTCGTAAGGCGTGGGCACCTCGCGACTCACGGTGCAGTCATTAAGCAGCTGTGATGATTAGAAGATGAGTCTTCCGCTGCCCAAGATAGCCGCCCTGAGCTGAGCAAAAAAGGAACTCGGAAAAATTGAGCTAGAAATGGATTACCAATTCCTGGCAACCAAAATGTTGATTTAATCATTTTATTTATAAGTGTATGAAGGGAATAAAATTTTATCCTGTACGTCGCGTAGAAGTTTTAAGGCATCTCCTAGAGATTTCGCGTCCCATTTGGAACTTCACTAAGCTCATCCTGCACGTAAATTGAAATTATGTAAATTATACCCGAATTTCAACACTTCTTAATGTAGCATGGAAACAACTACTGACATGTTAGCACTAGGAATAATATCACAGTATACAGACTGTGCTTACAAAACTCCATTTACTATGAAGTCCCACTTCTGAAAGTGAAAAATGAAAAATTAGAGTAGCAGATAAAGATAAGAGAATCAGAGATGTGAGGGAACTGTGTATTCACATATTGTTGATTGAAGTGTACATTAACAATTTTCCTCAGGGAAATATTTGAATGTGTGTAAGATTTTGAAAATGCAAATAACCTTGGACCCAGCAATTCTATTTTTTTTTTTAGATTTTCTTAAAGATGTTCTTCTGAAAGAATTAAAATACATATGCATGGCAACATCGCTTATAATATCAAAACCTTGTTAACTACTAAAATGTCCAACATTAAGAGATTGGCCAAATTACTTCCATCTCTTGGTGTCTCCGTTTCCTGATCTGTAAGAAGCAGAAATAATTAAGGGTTGTGGGGATCAAGTGGATGAATACAAGAAAGACCCTTATAATAACACCTGGCATATAGTAAGCAATAAATAAGTGCACACAATCAAAATTAGTATTGGTTAAGTAAGTTCCAGCACCTGTGATGTAAAAACTATATAGACATTTAAGATGATATTATACATCTGTATTTACATAAATATCTAAGTATTTAAGTTTTTAAAACGTAGCAAAACCAGTAAAATGACAAATATCTACAATTTTAAAAATCGGGAAGGAAATATTCAAGAAGATTGTGATCTGATTATTTTGGAATGGTAAGATTCTGGATTATATTTTTGTTCTTTATACATTTTATATTTTCCAAATATTTTATTGGAAAGCATTGTTTTTCTTTCAAAGCAAAAAAAAATGGGATATGTTAATATCACCAGGCTCTTAATAGTTTGAAGGGCCAATATGAAAAATTTGCTTGTGCTTTCTTATGACAAGAATTGTTTCCAAAATGCCACTATTAATAGAGGAAATAGACCATTGTTTCTCAAAACCTGCTATTACTAGCTTTAGGGAATCAAATGACAACAACTTCTCCACCTCAAGTTACAGAGCAGTATCATGGATTGTTATCATAATTGCCCTGTAGCAGGGTCCAATATTTATGAAAATGTATTTGAACATGCTCTATGCTTCAGAAATGAGACTGAATTGTTTTGTTACCAGTAGTAAGCCAGTAAACAAATTGTTCAAGCCTTAATTATCAATAGTTGAACATTGAGAAGTACATTAGCAGTGGGAACATTATCCATGTATTTTGATCTAGAATAGTGACTTTAGCTCCTGAGGGTCTTTATGATTAATATGCTTAAAAATAAACATTTTAAAAATAAAATAGATAATACTGTTATGTTTAACTTACAATTCACATATAAAAAGCAGAATGGGCTTGTATTTTGAGATTAACATCCTTTATTCCTTTAAAATATTGAAAACATAAGTTTCACTTTTAGTATTTCATTTTGAAAATTCTACATTAAAAGCAGTGATACTGATGTGCAAATGGAGTTACTACATAAAAAAAATCTATAATTAAAAAGTTCAGGAAAAGAAATATCTTASGGAAGTTAGCAGTTAAATTATCCCAACTGAGTAAAATGATTACTATTTCTCCAATTCAGCCCTTCCTTTCTAAGCTTATTGTCACTGCTTTTGTTCCCACTCTCACCATTTCTCAGGGAATTAAGAAGAATCTCCCCTTGTCCACAGGATCTGTGGTTAATCTTGGTCCAAAAATATGAAGTGGTAATTGTTAACAAATGAGCAAGTTTTAAACTGCATACCATTCTGAATAACATGATGAAATCTGGCAGCATTCTGTTCATTCTAGCCCAGAACATGAGTGTTGACCAGTATATCCATGCTGTATATACTACTGCCCATTAGTAACTTAGTAGCTATTTAGTTATATTTAGGTTGACTATATTCATGTGATTTTTTATTATTGTATATTATGATTGCCCTCTTTTTATTATTATTAATTTCTTATTGTGCCTTATTTATAAAGTAAACATTATCATAGGTATGTATGTGTAGGAAAAAACAGTATATATAGGGCTGAGTATATCCAGTTTAAGGCATCCACTAAAGGTCTTGGAACATGTCCACTGTGAGTAAAGATTGTAATACTGTATAATATTTATCTCCTAATGTATTTTTTACTTTCCTACTGCTATGGAATGAATTATATCCCTCCAATTCCTATGTCAAATCCCTAACCCCAGTGTAATGTTATTTGAAGATAAGGCCTTTGGGAACTCATTTGTTTTAAATGAAGTCATGAGACTTGGGCCCTTGTAAGTTCTCTTATAAGAGACACCAAATTGCTTGCCCTTTCTCCATTTCTGCATGTGAGGATATAATATAAAAGCAGCTGTCTGCAAGCAAGGATGAGTTCTCAGTGGAGCCCAACCATGCTGACACCCTGATTTCAGTTTCCCAACCTTCATAAATGTGAGAAAATTAATTTGTTTTATCACTCACTTGGTGGTACTTTGTTATGGTAGCTCATGATGACTAATACACCAACCTGTCTTCAAAACCAAGCTCTACTAACAGAATGATTTTTCTAACCTACAATGACTGTGTTATTCCCTTAAAATTCTTATACAGTTCTTCAGTCACTCAGTCATTGAGTAACTAACTGTTCATTAATAAACTCCTTATGTTTGTCAAGTATCATTCTAGATGCTGGAAATATCATAGGGATATAAGCTTTGTGTAACTTAGCCTCTTTTAGGGGTCTTTTGGGAAGACAGTCATTAAATAATTAGATTACTGCCTAATTACAAATATGCAGTCTCCTGTCCCCATATTAAGCACCCTTTACTATTACATCCTTATGAACTGATCCCCTAGAATTTCATCTCTTTAGTTTCTCCACATACTCTCAAGTATTTCTAAACTACCAGCAGCAGTCCAGGCACTTTCCATGACTTCAAAACAAGCAACTTTCTGTTTTATCTGCTCTTATTCTATTGGATAGATCTAGATCTTTTCTAAATTCCACTTAGTCTTCACTTCCCAAAAGCATTTCCTAACTCATTACCTGACCGGTAACAGGCATATAATAAATATTTGTTAATTAATTGGTTGATTGGCCCCCTCTATCACAACACTTAATGGTTTGTTGTTTGGTCCAGGTATTGATTATTACATTAAAAACCAACCCAAATTTAGCATCTTAGAGGGGAAAAGGGTAATTTCTTTTACTTACAAATCAGAAATGTGGTTGGACCTCAGCAGGGACAGCTTGCCTCCCTTCCACGCAGTGTCAGCAGGGTTGGCTGAAAGGCTTAGATGACTCTACAATTAGGGCACCAGTATTTGAAAATTTGCACAGTTATATGTCTGGCATTTGATACTGACAATTAGCAGGATTATTAGAGCTATCAGAACAACTACATGTGTTTTAGTCAGCTTTTTTGCTGCTGTGTTCAAAAGACCTGCCAAGAACGACTTTAGAAGAAGAAAAATATATTTAGCCTTCATGGTTTCAGAGGTCTCAGTCCATAGACGGCCAATTTCTTTGYGCTGTGCCGGAGGCGAGGCAGAACATCATGGTAGAAGCATTCAGAGGAGGAAAGCAGCTTAGGACATGACCACTAGGAAGCAGAGAGACAGCTCCACTCACCCAAGATAAAATATAAACCTCAAAGGCACGCTCCTGGTGACCCACCTCCTCCAGCCATATCCTACCTGCCTATAATTACCACTCAGTTGATCCCTATCCATGGATTAATCCACTGATTAGGTTAAAACTCTCATAAGATAATCATTTCACGTCAGGCATTCTTGCATTATCTCACACCAGAGCTTTTGGAGGACCGCTGATATCTAAACTATAACAATATGCCCCCCCCTGTGTATTTTCTTGGCTCCTTCTATCACACAGATTTAAATCTGAGTAAACCAAAGACAAGAAGAAGAAACTACCAATTTCTTCATATCTGGGCTAGGAAATGGATACACCACCATTTCAGTTATAGTCTATTGGATGGGCAGTCACAGCATCTACACTCAATGGAAGAGGAAATAAAATTCATGTCTTAGAAGAAAGAGTGTGAAAGAACTTCGGGAGCCATGTTTAAATGCTACAACTATATTATAACTTT